GCCTTGTTTTTGGTTATAACGGTTAGGGAGACTTAGTCATGGAGGATCTGTAACTCCCAAAAGACCAAAAAGCTGAAATCCTGAGTTTGTTAAAACCTATTGGTTTATAGCTGCCTTTAACTGTTGAACTTTTGTTACCTTTATGGTCCAAATGTTTTATTTGCTTTACTACTCGCTTTTAACATGTTTTATTTATTCATTATTATTTTTTTTTTTATCTTAATTTGATTTGTCCTGCTTTTATTCTCCTTATCTCGCATTGTGTAATAAATGTAAATCACTTTTAATTGTCTTTGTACTGAACGTGCATCCAAATGCTACTCCGTTTCAACTGGTCCATTGCGTGACCGTGGATGTGTAGTTTTGTTCTCTTTTGTTCTTGTTTCTTTTGCCTCCATCGATAAAAAGTTGGAAAAACAGGTTCTGCGCCAAGAAAAACAAACTCTCAACCTAGGAGCCTCTGTGTCTGCGATCACATGATCAGCGTGCTGCCTTCAGTGCACGCAAGATGCATGGGAAATACAACGTTGAACCGTGGAGCACAGACAAACAACAACAAAAAACATAGACATACATGAATAATGTAAATGTGTGCACAAGCTCGCTTCTGGTGACAGAGAAAGAGTAGGTAGTTTGCATATTAATTAAATAGGCTGCTAAAGAACAACTCGCAGCGGCGAATCGATTCTCATCGTTCACCGTGAAGGCACCGCCAAAAGGGGCGAATCGTTCCAGAACTTCGCAACTCTGCTGCTGCTCGGTTGTTTCTTTCAGTCCGTTAACTTTCTAAAGCTGTCTTTTTTGAAGTAATTGAATCTAAAACCATGGCTAAAGATATGACTCTGCTGTGGGGCTCCGGCTCTCCTCCCTGCTGGAGAGTGATGATCGTCCTGGAGGAGAAGAATCTGCAGGGTTATAACAGCAAACTGCTCTCCTTTGAGAAAATGGAGCACAAGTCCCAGCAAGTGTTAGATATCAATCCAAGGGGACAGGTGGGTATAAACAAACCAAAACAAACGGTTCCATATAGAGTAACATTTCCTCAATCACGCGGAGGTAGTTGCATGTAAAAAAAAAAAAAAAGGGAAATAGACTATTGGATCTGTTTAAGCTGTAGATATTAGCTGAATCTGAATTCCAGGGACTGGTTTAACAAACGCATCTGTTTGAGCACATCATTATGAACAAAAAGATATATTAAACGCCTAAAACAGCAGCCAGGTTATAGAAAAGGAGAAATCTTGTGTAGGGCAGCCTATAGACATTATGGCACACTGCCCAGGGAGCCAAATCCTATGGGGCGCCTTAAGCGCTCTGGTAATTTCACTTTTGTTTGTTGAAATCGTAGCTACATTCGATTATTGCAAAGTAAACTTTATTGGTTAACTACCGTAAATTCTCTAATATTGGCCTGTATTCCATTAGTGGCCGGGTCTCTAATAATGGCCGGTCTCGCTGTCAGAGGA